GGTTGGTGGGTTGTATATAAAGGATTTAGTATTGTAAACTTTATTTTAAGAATAATGAATGAGATGGAGCACGTTTTCTGTAATTACACCTCTTTTAACATGGTATCATGTGTCAGCTAATTTTTTCCTTGACTCTGCTTTGTTTGGTCAAAATTGATTTAGGGATTTCTCTTCTCCTTTTCTCTCCTCCGCAGCCATGGAGAATTCAGCCTTTGATTTCAACCACCCGCTGTTCCTGCATGCCTCCGATGCACCGGGATTCCTACTTGTTTCGCATCAGCTTCTCGGCATCGAGAACTATGGTGTGTGGAGCCGGTCGATGAAGATTGCCCTACTTGCGAAGAATAAATTGGGCTTTGTCACCGGTGATTGCCGACGAGAAGATTTCGATGAGTCTTTACATCCCAAATGGGAGAGGTGTAACATTCTCGTCCTGTCTTGGATTCTTAATAAAGTCAGCAAAGAGCTCTCCGCTGGGATTGTTTTCGCATCGAGTGCCGCCTCGGTTTGGCAGGATTTGAGGGAGAGGTTTGCCAAAGTTGATGGTTCCAGATCCTTCTTTCTTCACCGAGAAATCGCGCTTCTGAATCAAGGTGATTCCTCCATCTCAATCTATTTCACTCGATTGAAATCACTTTGGGATGAGTATGAAGCCTTGGCTCCCATTTCCCCTTGTGGTTGTGCTCTTTCACAACGCACGATCGCTCACTATGCACATAAGAAATTATTTCAATTTCTCATAGGTCTCAACGAGACATACACTGCTGTGCGGAGCCAAATTCTACTCATGCAGCCATTGTTGACTGTGAACATGGCGTATTTGATGCTGGTTCAGGAGGAATCACAGAGGATTCACTCTTCTTCCCTTTCTCCAATTTCTGAGGTCTCGGCTTTGTACTCCACCTCCGTTGGGAATGCTGATAAAAAAAGATTTTCTGGTGTGTGTGACTATTGCAAAGTTCGCGAGCATAAACGTGAGAATTGCTACCGGTTGATTGGATTTCCTGCCAATTTTAAGTTCTCAAAGAAGAAAGGTGGCCAGGTTGCTTTGCCCTCTACTCGGTCTCCTCTTGGTTCTCACAACCAGACAAATTTGAGCCATAGCCAGATATTGTCTCCAGTGTTCCTATGTTTACAAAGGCTCAATATGATCAAATACTTCATCTCTTGAACAAGGCACCTTCTGTGGATACAATGCTAGCTGCAGCAGCAAATATTGCAGGTATTAACTCTGCCACCACTAGTCTTTCTTTCAATTGGATATTAGACTCAGGGGCCACTGACCATATGTTATCAGATTTTCAAAAACTAGTATCTCCAGTTCCTTGCACATCAACCTCTATATTTGTATACTTACCTAATGATCAAATAGCCCCCATAACATATACAGGTTCTTTTTCTCTTGACCAGAACAATTCCCTTAAAAATGTCCTGTTTATTCCAGATTTTGCACATAACGTTTTGTCTGTTTCTAAGCTGATCAAAGAGCTTAATTGTAATGTTTCATTTTACCCTGACTTCTGCATTTTACAGGATCTATCCACTGGAAAGATGAAGGGGATTGGTAGGGAGTCTCGTGGGCTGTATTTTTTTTGATTCTTCAACTTTTGATTCTGGTATTTTTTCTGTTAATCACTGTAATTCCTTGGGCTCTTCAAATTGTATGAATCTTTCAACTATCAATAATACAAAACTTTGGCATGCTCGTTTAGGACACTCATCTTTCTCTAGTTTACATAAAATTTCATATTTACAATCTCATAAATTTTATGCTGACTGTGTCCTTAAATGCTCAATTTGTCCTCTTGCTAAACAATCTAGGTTACCTTTTCCACACAGTACTTCTAGAGCTTCTGCACCTTTTGATTTGGTACATATTGATCTATGGGGACCCTATAGGATTTCCACTCATAGTGGTTATAGATCTTTTTTCACCATTGTTGATGACCACACAAGGATGTCTTGGATTTTTTTGTTGAGGCTTAAGAGTGATGCAATCATTTCTTTAAAATAATTCTTTGCCTATGTAAAAAATCATTTTTCAGTCACAATCAAGTACATTAGAAGTGACAATGGTTCTGAGTTTTTTGCTAATGAGTGTTTTCCTTTTTTTTTCTTCATTGGGTATTGTTCATCAAAGTTCATGTGTTCATACTCCTCATCAAAATGGCATTGCTGAAAGAAAACAAAAGCATTTGTTAGAGGTAGCTAGAGCCCTCAAATTTCATTCCTAAGTTCCTGTTAAGTTTTGGGGGAAATGTGTCACCACAGCCTGTTATATCATTAACAGGCTGCCTTCTTCTTCTTTAGCTGGAAAAAGCCCTTTTGAAGTTCTTCATGGTAAACCTCCCAATTTGTCTCATATGAGAGTTTTGGTTGTTTATGTTATGCCACCCAACCAAATTACAAGTATAAGTTTTCCCCAAAAGCAATACCTTCTGTCTTCATGGGTTATTCAGCCACTCAAAAAGGCTACTTACTGTTCAATCTTGACAAAAAAACCTTTTTTGTTAATAGAGATGTTAAGTTCCATGAGGACATTTTTCCTTTCCAATTTCCCATTTCTTCTTCTTCTCTATTTTTTCATATTCAAGAAATTTTTGACTCTGATTTTCTGATTATGCCTTCTCACACCCAATCTTTTATACCTTCTGGTTCTTCACCTCATTCTGCATCACCTCAAGCTTCAACATATGATTCCATTTTACCTCAACCTTCACCTCAACCCATTCTTTCTGATGGCTCTTCATCAAGTAGCATTCTTATTCCCCCTAGGCAGTCTACTAAGGTCAAAAAACAGCCTTCTTGGTTACATGATTATGTGCAGTCCTACCAATCTTCCTCTCTTCCAGGTACTTATCCAATCTCTAACTTTCTTTCTTATTATCGTCTTCCTGCTAAAACTCAACTTTACCTTTCTTCTATATCTCATTTGGTTGAGCCAAAGACCTATACTGAAGCTGTTAAAAACCCTGAATGGATTAAAGCCATGAATGAGGAGATTTTAGCTTTGAAATCTAATAATACCTGGTCATTGGTTCCCCTGCCTTCTAATAAAACTCCCATTGGAAGTAAATGGGTGTATCGCATCAAATATAATTTGAATGGAGAAGTGGAGAGGTTTAAAGCTCGTCTTGTTGTTAAAGGATACACTCAAAGAGAAAGGGGTTGATTATGTTGAGACCTTCTCACCTGTGGCAAAAATGGTCACTGTTAGAACAGTCTTGGCCCTTGTTTCTATTCATCAATGGCCTCTCTTTCAGATGGACGTCTACAATGCTTTCCTTCAGGGTGATTTAGTTGAGGAGGTATACATGTCCTTACCTGAAGTATTTTGCAGTCAGGGGGAGACCAGGGTGTGCAGACTGCAAAAATCCTTGTATGGATTAAAGCAGGCTTCAAGGCAGTGGAACATGAAACTCATAGAGGCTCTTCTGTTGGCAGGTTATTCTCAAAGCAAGTTTGACTACTCATTGTTTACTAAGTCACAAGGAAGCAAAGTAGTCATAATGCTCATATATGTGTATGATCTTTTGATAACTGGAAATGGCAATGGGTTGATTGAAGAACTCAAAGGAATTTTGAATAAAAATTTCAAAATGAAAGATCTTGGTGAATTAAGGTATTTCCTTGGCTTAGAAATATTAAGATCAGCAAAGGGAATAATTATAAGTCAAAGGAAGTATGCATTGGAGTTAATTGAAGAAACTGGATTGGGGGGTGCAAGGCCTGCCGCAACTCCTTTGGAATAAAATAAGAGGTTGACTTCTGAAGACGAGCTGTTAAAGGACAAGACAAGTTATCAAAGATTGATTGGGAAATTGATTTACCTTGCCAACACAAGGACTGATATTGCTTATTCAGTACAATTATTGAGTCAATTCATGCAACAACCAAGGAAATTATATTTGGATGCAGCTTTGAGGGTGGTCAGGTATATCAAAAGCAGTCCAGGTCAAGGAGTGTTGCTTAGTGCAGGAAGTCAATGCCAACTTCAAGCCTTTTGTGATTCAGATTGGGCAACTTGCCCAATGACGAGGAGGTCAGTAACTGGTTTTGTGTGAAAATGGGAGACTCTTTGCTATCTTGGAAGTCCAAGAAACAAAACACAATTGCAAGGTCATCTGCAGAGGCAGAGTATCGCAGTATGGCAATGACTGCTGCAGAAATAGTGTGGTTAACAGGCTTACTGAATGAGCTTGGGTTTAACAACACAGGACCAGTAAAGTTGATGTGTGATAACAAGGAAGCTCTTCAAATAGCAGCAAATCCAGTTTTCCACGAAAGAACAAAGCACATTGAAATTGACTGCCATTTTGTTCGAGAAAAAAATTCAAGAAGGAATAATTAAAACAGAGTATGTGAAGACAACAGACCAGCAAACATACATTCTAACAAAAGCTTTGGGAGTTCAACAGCATGAATATTTGAGTTCCAAGTTGGGGTTAATCAACATCTTTAACCACCAACTTGAGGGGGAGTGTTAGTTTTCTGTTATTTGATTAGTTATGCTGTTGATAATTAGTTAGTTGCTGTTATTAATTAGTTAGATTGTTAGTTAGGCTTGTAACGGTTGGTGGGCTGTATATAAAGGATTTAGTCTTGTAAACTTTATTTTAAGAATAATGAATGAGATGGAGCACGTTTTCTGTAATTACACCTCTTTTAACATAATCTCCTCCGGGGCACCATAAAACCCGGTGCATCTCCATGTTGAACCATCCTCATTATCACGAATAAAAACATCAGTATGAGAACAAGAAAAGGAACGTAAAGTAATCGGCCAATAATTCTTCCACATCATATACAAACCTCCTCGAGTCCCATAAGCATCAACCTATATACCATTCGAAATTTCACAAAACCTTCGAACCTTCTTCATTCTTGATTTTTGTAGCTTTGTTTCCATAAAAAAAACTATAGTGGGATTATTGCCTCTCAGCAGGTGCCGGATACAACGAACTGTCCGGGCTAATCCCCAGACATTCCAACTTATAGCTTCATTGTGTTCGATTGGCCTGATCAATCAGGCCTGCCGATATGTTATCATTTGGAATCACCAAACTGTTCTCTTTTTGCATATTCAAACTTGCTTGAAGACTCCTCAGCCTCTTCGCATTCTTTGGTTCATTTATGGGATTTTCTTCCTCCACAATAACCATTTCCACATCAGCAGCACTCACCCCATTTAGACGTTCATGAACACCCGATTTCACCTTCAGATTGTGTGATAGACCAACCAGGGATAATTTTCATCCCTCAATTCCAGCAGTAGACCCAACTTCCCCACACTTCTGGAATCTCTCGCACTCGAATTGAAGATCCCCTCACTCCCTTCCTCCTTAAGCCAAGGACTAGAAACAAGGGAACGACGTCTTGTTGGTGCCCAAAGTAAAGCATCCCACTGCAAAACCAATTCCTGTTTTGGCTTGAGAACCCGCAACTGACAGAAGCCCTCCCTGTGACCTAGTTTACCATAGAGGAAACAAAACATTTTCAGTTTTTCATATTGAAATGTTGCGTAAGTAAAACCATTCGTTACCTATGGAGATCAAGATTATTCAGAGCCTCCTCCAAATCACCCATGGAGAAAATAAAATCAGCGAATTAAAAAACAGAAAAGAAGCAAAAAGCGAACAGTAACAAACTGATTGAAATGTATGCTTAAACTTATATTTCTCTTCTTATACTTCCTAGTATGTTTTCGTTTACAAATTGCAAGTAAATGTGTACCACTAAACTTTGTAAAGCTTAACGTTTGAATGTTTTCATTCACAAATTAATTTTATGAACTTGTTTGAGGAGCATCGTCGGAACAAAATTTTCAACCTCACTTCATTAGAGTACAATGCTATTTACTGTGCCGTCATGAAGTTCAAGTTTTTGTACAAATATTTTACAAATTGTTATGAATGTCTTACTTTAATATATCGAAATTATGACTTGAAGTTATACCAAAAAGATTTTAAATTTGGTGATTGTTTGGAAAACTCAATATAACATCATAAATTCATCTTATAATAGATCAAATTTAGAACGATACATTCTCTCTTCCCTTCAAAGAAACCTAAAAATATATGAACTGGACAAAATTATCTAAATTACTATACATTACAATCCATTATTTGTGTTAATCAATTAGTTCTTGTTCTATCAATTAGCAAATACTAATTATATGTACGTCACAAATTAGAGCTACTCGGAGGAATATTGTCACCAACAACAGCATCGGCACCTTCATGCCCGTCATTAGCCAAAGCTACGACACTTTGTGGAGGAGATTGGCCATCAAAATACTTTACCAATTCACTAATTCTAGACCAAACCGAACTGTCATGCACGGTGTGGGCTGCGTTCCAATGAGATTGCAGAAATTCAGTGAAGTAAATGATGAGTGAACACACTGAAGCAACCGCCGTAATGATGAAGAGACCCCCGAAGCTGTACAAGCCGAGACTATCGGACGAAATCGTAGTTCGTTCGCTGCCGATTTGACAAGGTTTTAGTTGTGAAAAGTATTTTTGTTCCAAAGCATCCATTTTTAATTTGTTTTCAGTCACACTCAAGATTGCCCTGGATATGTAGGCCACTAGAGGAGATCCTTGTGGGAAGGCCTAGGCAAAGAAAAACCAAGTTTTTCATTTGTTAAATGAAAATCAAGTATGATTAACAATTGTAACTTTCTAATCACATATTCAAGAGTAGGGTCGGAAGTGACTAACGAAACCAAGTCCGTCGGTTTTGTAGGTCGGTCCGGCTGTCATATATTTGTTGCAGTACTTGGCAAGAAAAAGCTCGACACAGTGCTGTGCTCCGAAAATCGCACCGACACCACCATTTTGGCTTCCCTTTGATAATGCTTCGTCAAACTCCTCTGCAGTACCATAGTTCTTCAACTTAGACTCATCTAAGTCCAATTGCTTTACCAAAAGGTCTTTCACAAAGGAACCGGTCTCGTATCCTACAAAATCGCCGTTCTTTTTTAGCTCATTGACGTCTACTACTGCCGGTTGCAGTCGTTGCACGGTTAGCATCGAGGCCAGACTTGCAGTGTAACTTTGGGTGAGGATGAGTACCACGAATATCCATATAATCAGCACGACTCTTGACAGATTGCTTATGATCTTCTCCCCTGAAACCAGACAAATGACGTTGCTTGACAAAGAAGAAACTTCAATTTATTCACAATTAGATGGAAGAGACATCACTTACTATGAGCAAACACTAGAGTTGAAAAGGAGAACCAAAAACCGTTCCGACTTGTTGCCGTGCCGAACCCCCAAACTCGTTGTTGATTCGGTGTTCCAAAACCCACACTACTAAGCCTGTGCAGATGAATGCTACCCCTGTTGTTAACCAAAGATCCCAACTCAGAGGCTTTAAGAATATCCACATATTCTTTCTCCCATCATCTTTTCTTTTCACAACCATGGACACATGTGATTGCAAGTAAGGCAATGTAAAATCTACGTATCGAGATCGATTTGCCAGAATTGTTATATCTCCCACTGCAGCATCAAATTTCTACACCACCACAAAGAGTAGGCTATCAGTTAGTGTCGAAATAAATGGAAAAATAGGTCGAGATTCGGGTTAAATATTAGGCCAGGCACCTGAAGTTTGACGTCGTAAAGAAGCTCGTTGTATGTTCCTGAACTTGTGTCGTTACCAATGGGAAAAGGTAAAATCGCTAATGCCTCCTTGAACACATCATAAGAGAACCCCATTACGATGAACTCATCAGTGTAAGGGTCGCGATTCACTTTCAAATATGCATCAAAGCCAGGTTTCACAGGGACCTCAATCCTTAATTTCTTACCAACAACCAGTATCGTCCAACCTCTGGGCTTAGCTTTCGTGTTTCCCGGCCAGATAGGTGGTTTAAGTTCATGATATGAGGTCGAATATGTTGCCTTCACAGGTTTGCCTAGTTCTGCTGTCAATCCATTCTCAACGGTCCAATACCCTATAACTTTTTCCATTTTATCTACCACGTTGATGATTTCAAAAGCTGAAGACTGCAACTGTCCCCTAACCAAACTGAAATCTCCACTGAGACCTTTAAATTTCTTTTTCACTATCTCATTTCGGATCGACCGACCTACTGCAGAAACTCTTATTTCAGGAATCTGACTTGCATTTCTCCGGTTACTTCGTCTCGTAACACCAGAACTCTTATGTGGAACCATTTCGACAGACTTAGCTAGTGCCCAAACGGTATCATATGCCCAATACCCATAAATGTTTAGTTTGGTCGAACTAGAGTGAATCCCACGTTTCCATTTCTTTTTAAACTTCTCCAGGCGTTTAGACTGTGGTATGTATGGCCTTATTCCCAACACACCTTGCATCGAACCGATGATTTCGGCTCCCATCGGATCCAACAAATTCGATAGTCCATCTGTAATGATCCAAACATATCCTTCACTAATCATGGTTGCTTCTTTTGCAAGGAAAAAGAGTTTGGACCCTAACGAAGATGTCATATGTACCACAATAACTCTCGTCTGCATCGCCATTACGTTGTTGAGCATCTTTAAGATGGTCAAGTTACTGTAGTTTGTGGAGACGGAAAACCTCGAACTCACACGTATGTCGAACCGTTGAAACTCGTCTGACAGGTAGGGGATTAAACCGCTTCCGTATTCGGTGTTTTCGTAGAGGAGGACTACTTCGTGCCATTCATACGCATGAATGATGGCGGCGATGGCTTTCGCTTGCGAGCTATCGTCTAAGGCTGTTCGAACGAAGAAAGGGTTCTGGGTTGTGGAGAGTGAGGGACTCGTTGCTGAAGATGAAATGATGGGAACTTGAGCCTTTTGGCCGATATCCATTACAACTCTAGCTTGCATTGACGTTTGGGGACCGATTATGGCATTAACTTCCTCCTTATTAATCAACTCTAGTGCTGCAATTTGGATATGGTATAGATGATCAATAGGAGAAATTAATTATACTACAATTATTTACCTTTTATAAATAATTAAATGATTGTCTAATTATTTTTAAAATAAAATAATATTGTTAATATAAATATGAGAATAAATTTATTATAATTGTTTACTCTAAAATATTGCTTTTAAATTATTTGTAAGTCAACGTTTAGATACAATACTTCAAAGTTATAAAATTCTTTTTAATATGTCATCAGTCAAAATTAACCTATTAACTGATTAATTTAGGCAGAGTATTATATATGTCTAAGGGTGACGTTTTCAACTAAACTTGTTCATTAATAACGCCAGATAGAGCCATCTTAGACATTTTCGAAATCATAAGTGAAAACTCAAAAATAAAATATTATAGAACGAAAGCATATTCTATTACATTGAATAATTAATTTTATATTTTATTAATAAATTATAAAAATATAATTAAACTTTGTCAAACTTATTATTTTCATTGTTTAGTTCAAAAATACTTTAAATACAACTTAAGTAATAAAATGTAATCAATATTATCAAAACACATCATTTTCTTTATTTTGTGAAGATATAAGAAGATATAACCGATATTCTATTGATCTAAGAAACTAAAAATATCAAATTATAATAAACGAACTAAAGGGTGAAGGTATATGCCAAGAGTTGTCTACCACGTCGTTATTATTCATGTTTCTAATCAATAAAATTTATCTTTTTTATTTTCTTTTCATATAATTTTTTAAACATAAAACTTCATTTTTTTTCTATGTGAATATAGAAGTGGATAATTCTTTTTGAACAATTTCTATATATAGGCCTGTAAACGAACTGAACGTTCAGCGAACTGTTCGTGAACTATTCAGCGGAAAGTTTATTTATATTCATTTATTCATTAAAAGAACGAACATAAACAATATTTTATGTTCATTTAATTAAACGAACGAACATGAACAAATGGCTCGTTTGTTTGTTTACATTCGTGAACGTTCGATTATTTATTCGTTTATGTTCATTCATTTATGTTCGTTCGTTTATGTTTGTTCGTTTATATTCAACTCAATCTCTTGACTTGTTTCAAATATTAAGACCGAATAAATTTTAACCTTAAACAATTAATATTTTAAAATCCAATTAATTTTAAACCCAAATAAAAATACTCAACTCAATTAAAGAAAATAAAAATCCTAAAATTATTTGGAAAGAAAAAAAAACTCTTCTCAAATAGAAACTCAATTAATTTTATGTTTGTTCCTTTATGTTTGTTTACGTTTATTTATGTTCGTTTGTTTGTATTCATTTACGTTCATTTATCATTCTAACGAACTAGCATTAACGAACACGAAATTTATCCGAATGAATACGAACAATAAATTATGTTTGTTTAATTGTTCATGTTCGTTCGTTTGTTCGGTTAAAGTTAAACGGACGAATATGAATATACTATTGTTCGTATTCGTTCGGTTCATTATAGGCCTGTCTATCTAGTGGAAGAGGGAGAGGAATTTACTCATAATAAATATTGAATCCATAATTTAAAAGAGAGGAGAAGTATCAAGAGAGAGATCTTATTTATTTGCTCTAGATATTGTTGACTATGAAAATGGATAATTGAACGTTAATTATGAATAAATTAGGGGTGATTCTACGGGGCAACAATCTATTATAAGGTTAAGTAAAGACACAATCTAAAATGTTATAAATAAATATAACATTTTAGGTTACGCGTAACATAAAAGATTAATTTTTTCTTAATTTTTTTCGGATACGAATATTCTTTGTAACATTTTAGGTTCCCCGAAAATGTTACATTTTTCATAATATTTTAGATTGAATTGAAAATGTTAAAAAGTTAACATTTTAGGTAGTTCATTTCTTTAGTCTTATATTAGACTGCTGTACCGAAGAACTCCCCATAAATTAGTGATATGATAAAAATATAAAATAAATCATTTTTATCGACGAATACTATGAATAACACTATGAACATGGTTCATGAAATAGTTTCCAAAATAAAAGAAAAACCTGTAAAAGCAGCAGCAAGAACATCATCGGAGCTCCTAACGTGCAGAGACAATCTGGTCCTGAAATTAGGATGAGCAGCATAGAAGTCTGAGATGGCCATGGGAATGCATGCGTTCGCCACTGATCCAACCAGTGAATTTAGATCAAGAATTACACCCACATCCACCTTCTTCTTCGTTTCTCCAAATTCATCCATCCTCCCCCCACCACTCAAACAAAGAACAAACAAACACAACACAAAATATTTTTGACATGGGCCCTTCCTCCTCCACTTTGGGACAGCTTTATTCTTCTTCACTTGTTCATGGACTTCATGAATATGCCTATGTATAAATACACAAAGGGGCTTTGTCGACTATAAGAATATAAAATTAAAAAATATAACAGGAAATTTCGCATAAACTATTATACTTAAGAAGTCGAAATCTTGTTTGTTTGTATTCTTTTTCTCGCTTTTGTTTGTTTGATTGTTAAAAGTTAAAATAACATAGAAAAGGTCGTCTCTTTGCAGCGGTCAAGAAGGGTGCTGGGATACTTCGCAGAAGAAACATCATATATATATATTGGCTTACATGTCGATTACTTTGCTTCCCAGTTTGCCTTATGACATCGAATTCATCAGAGAGAACAAGTAAAAATGTTAAGAGTTTGTGCGAAGACTTTTTGGTCGGTTATATTGTTAAATCTCGAAAGAAACATTGGATTTATATTTTAGGGTTAACTACACAGATGATCACTTATCTTTGTATTTTGTCCACTTTTAGTCACTGATTTCAAAAAAATAAGATATAATCACTTTCGTTTTTATTTAATTAAGATATGGTCATCCCGAGTTAACTGCCGTTAACAACAGTTAAATATTTTGATATAATCACACATTTGGTCCCTGCTATTTATATATTTTATCAATTTAGTCATACTTTTAATAAATGAAAAATAAATTATATATTTTTAAATGAAAATAAAAATACAATATTTTTAAATTAAGTTAATAATAAAATATATTTAATAAGTTAATATAAAAGTATTTTTAAATTAATATATATGTATAATTATGTTATATATAATATAAGTCAAGGGTACCCGGTTCATAATTTTTTTTATTTTTTCTTTAAATTATATTATTTTAAAAATTATATAGGAAAATTCTAAAATTCTAAAATTTAAAAGTCTGTAATATATATAATCCACACATAAATTTTAAAAATTCAAAATACATATTGAAAATAAAATTTATTAAAAATTAAAATAAAGGAATACAATTAAATTTCAAATGTTTTGAAGTTAAAATAAATATTTTAAAAAATAATTTAGAATGTTAATGTGAAATAATCCACACATAAATTTTAAAAATTCAAATTATATATTGAAAATAAATTTTATTAAAAATTAAAATAAAGTAATACAATTAATTTTTAAATGTTTTGAAGTTAAAATAAATATTTTAAAAAATAATTTAGAACATTAATGTGAAATAATTTAAGAAATTAAGAATTTAGAAGGTTTTGGTGTCAAAATTTAAGAAATTGGGATTTTAGAATGTTACAGTGAAATCATTTGAGAATTATGAATACAAAATTTAATATAAAATAAAATTGGAAAATAATATATATATATATATATATAATAAATCGGGTACGAGTAAGTAGGTACCCGATTAACCAACATTTTGTCTCTAGACTGACCTAGAATCCGAAAAAAAATAGTGAGTCGGGTACCTGACCCGAAAAGTCAGATATTTTTATTATAAATACCGGTATTTTTTAACTGGGTCGACGAGTCTGGTCAATCGGGTCGAGTATATTTGAATACCCCTACATGACATGACATGTGGTATCATTCGATTGGAGGATTAAATTTATTTTATTTTATTAAAAGTATAACTAAATTGAAAGAATATGTAAATAATAGGGACTAAATGTATGATTATATAAAAATATTTAACTGTTGTTAACGATAGTTAACTTAGGGTGACCACATCTTAATTAAATAAAAACAAAAATAATCATATCTTATGTTTTTTGAAATCAGTGACCAAAAGTGGACAAAACACAAACATAAGTGAATATCCATATAGTTAACCCCAAATTTTATTCATGTGACAGATCTTCAAGTTTGAAATTAAATTATAAATTTTGAAAAATTATTATATTATAATTTTAGAAATAATTTTTCAAAATCTCTTATCATTAGAGTCTTCGAGTAGGAACCACTGGCTTGTGTATTTATAGTGTTCATTCTTTCCTCTTTTATTAAGTGATAGAGAACAAGGGGTAATCTCGCGCGCTATCGTCGTTCTGTCCTCGTGGATGAGGCTTATGGAATATGTATCTTCGACATGTCCACGCAGATACTATCATTTTAAAGAAAAATTGTAAGGATTTTTCTTGAGTATAAAAGTTTGTGAAAGAATTTTTATTCTGATATTTATAGGATGCGTTATGTCCTGGTTCGATTTAAATTTCAGAGGGTTACAACTGAGATTAATTAACTGTCTTTTGATTTCTGAAATTTAAAACCTGAATAGTCAGTTTCCGAAATTTTGTCTGTGAAATGTTTGATTTATTTGGACAAGTTTTCATCTTTGTTCAGAGTGTTTATTCTGCCAGTTACAAAATAATTACTAGAGTCACAAATGTAATTACTTGAGTTACAAACGGATGGAAAGTAAATCACAAATCTGGACTATTTTGGAGCCATATTCATCCATTTATGACAACAATTTTAGTTTTAATTCAAAAATGAATCATATTTATATATGATTTTTGTTGGATATTTTTATCCCTGAAGCTAAACCTATAAATAGAGAGGTGTCATAAGCTTCTCAACTCACTCTTAACTCTTACGTATTCTCTCAGTCTAAAGCATTTCTTGCTTTCTTTCTTTGCTATCAAAATAGCATTACCACTGGCAGTTTACTCTGGTTTCGGGTGTACAAATTCTCGGAGCGACCGTATTAATCTCGTGGGACGATCTTCCTATTGCAGCGATTACACACATCGGAGCGAATTTGTTTCTAAGACATTGACTTTCACCACGACACGATTTCTGTTGTTCAATTGCTGTTTATTTTTTATTTATCTTGTCAGTGGTAATGGTGTGATTTTTGCAGTATACATTTCCAGCAAAAATGAATGAGGAATGTTCTTGCAAATGAAGGATCTTTATGGGTGGTATGGATCTACACTTATATGTTTAAGGGTGTAGATTTTTGACAAGTCAATTGTAGGCCCCATTTCAATTAGAATTTAAAGAAGATCTTAAGATTGAGTGATGAGGCTAGGTCTTTGTTCACTGGCCGGTCTGGTTGGGGCAAGATAACGACGAGGTGGCTTGGGGGGAGACTAAGGATAAGAAGGGTAAGATTGAGTGGCAAAAGGTTGTTTGGTTCTCCATGAATGTCCCTAAGCACTCTACCATTGTTTGGATGGTAGTGCTTGATAGGCATCCTACTGCTGATAAGCTGCTTAAGATGGGAATGAATATGGATGCAGATTATGGGAAATGTGATAGGTTGGGTAGAGTCTCAGTATCATGTGTTTTTTTTAATGCCCTTTTTATAGAGAGGTTTGGGAGGCTGTGTTGAGGTTGTGTGAAATTTGTTGGGGTGGGAAGCTGGAATGAGGAGCTTGATTGGGCTGTCTCTCGGTTCAAGGGTAAATCTCTCCTGGTGTATGTGCTGAGAGTGGCTTGGTGTTATTTTTTTTATTGCATTTGGGAAGAAATAAATTATAGATAGTTTAGGGATGTTAAGAGGAATGTGAGTGAGATTGTAGATACTATCAAAGGGATTATTCGTATTAAGGAGTATAGGAAGAATATTAGATGTGATACTGTAAATCAGAGCCTATGTGTTGCTTGGGGATTATAAATTTTTTCTCTTTGAGGGGGTGTTATATTTATTTTTTTGTAGCAGGATTAGTCTGCTTCTTGGATAATAAGAGCTTTGATTTATCCAAAAAAAATATTTTATATGTGTCGATGTTGAGGAGGTTAATTTGAAATCGATTTATGAGAAAGAATCATTGAAGATCCTTGCTAAAGGGGTTAAAGAACTTCAAAAAGAAAAAAAAAGATTCTACTTATAAATTTTTTATGGTGAAACCATGAAGCTGAGGAGATTAGATGAGGGATGGAAGAGTTTATACGACTTCAGTATTTGCATTTTTCAATTTAAATAAATTTTGAGAATAATTTTTTTAAAGTGGAGAAAGTTTTAACTCCTTGAATTTTTTAATCAATTGCATTTAAATGGATCCGACACTTTTACGGATAGAACAATTATAGATATGATATGTGTGGCTTTTTTTACCTTATTACGTGTTGTATTATCTATGTATATTTAGCATGATACTATGTGAAACCAGACAATCTTTTCTTAAAGTTGATTGTGAGAATTATTATTGATGCTATGTGAGACCAAGCAATCGCATTATACTTTTGTGACGATAATTATTAGCGAGACCATGTGAAAATGAGATTTCTTATCTTGACTACCTATTGCTATATGACATCGAGTGCCAATGTTGTTTACTTTTTATCAAAACATTAACCGACCCTTTATTGAATAAAGTTAACAAAATAAACAAAACACAAGTCTGAAGAAGTCTAAACGAGTATACAGTTAAGTAAAACACACAAAATAAAACAAACACCACTACCAAAAAGAAAAGCCTGCTAATCGTCTTCTTCACAACCCAACTATAACCCATGAAAGCTTCAAGTGGCGAAGACCAACAGAGCAAAATAGAACCTATTCACATTCCAACTAGACGGAGATAGAGAACCCTACGATGGTTCCAACTTGCGTATATCCTCAGTAGCTTGCTCTTCCACTTTTCGAGGAGCCTCCTCGATTTAGAGTCGGTCTTCTTCATCGTGATTATACATCGTTGCCAACAAGTGTGTTTCTTTATTACCCGACCAGAGAATATGCCGAAAGGTACATGCATGTAATCCCCTCGCTTTGTCTTTTACTTCCCATATTAGCCCATTGATCTTAAAGTAATCAGTATTCTCTGAGGATAACTTTATGATCACAACTTTCGAATCCCGCTCAATAACTATATCTCTGAAGCCCAAATCAACAACAAGATCTATGAAGTGAATGACCGCCATTACTTCAGCTACAAATGCCGAGGTAATCTGACTCATTTTCCCCCATAATGTTACCCGCAACATCATGGATTAAATGCCTGA